ACAATCTCCTATCTGGAAACAAGACTGCGCTCTTCACTATCCCTTAAAGGCATGGTGGCGTATTTTGTGGACAAATTAACACACAAAAATGTGATGCCTAGATATTTTTTGCAAATCAGGTAGGGTCAACCTGGTAGCCCACACGGCTTGGGTCTGGGTTTAAATTCTTGACCCGTTTGCAAAACCGGATCGGGTTAGAGTCAGCCCGTTTGGACCCGGGTCAATTTGGGTTAGACCCAACCTATTGACCCGCTTTGACACCCTTAAACTAAATATTGGGGTTTAGTGGCTCTTTATACAACAAAAGATGTTTTTAATTAGATTATCTACAATGTTAATTGGAAAGGATTAAATAGTCGTCTAACCGACTGTACATGCCTTGATTTTCCAAGCTATCAGGCTAGGTCATGATAATTAAATAATCAGCTTCAAGACAACAATATTACCAATACCTCTTAAAAACCCCCCACCGCCGGCCATGTTTCCCCTACACCCAACTGCCAGCCCACCCTCCATATTCCCTTGATTCCAATTTCATTTCACCATCATTACTTTCTTAAATTAGCTCATGTCTTATTTGGAAAGTTTCCGAATTCAAATTCAAATGAATTTGAATTTTAAATTATTTCCTAAATAACCTAAATCTATTTTAGGAAATCTTTCAATCATATTAAATCTGAAACTATTTCAGATTTAACTCTCCAATCTCCCATTAATGCATGGGTCCACATACATTGTACGTGGACAACTTTTCTTTTCCCTCCTCATTAGGTCGGCCCCTCTCTCTCCCCTATTTTAATTATTCCTTTCCTTGTTAAGGAATTCAATTAGGGGAATAATTAACCACCTATTTATCCTTCCCTCCATTGAATTTGAATTTCAAAAACTTTCCAAAATTAAAACAACCCTATTTTAGAAACTCACCCAATCCCAATCTCCTTACCTACAAAATTCAAACCTCCCATCATTACTTTCCTTTCTTTACACAACCTCCTTTAGAAAGCTTTGATTTCAATCATTCAATCAATTTTGAATTTTGAAATACTTCCTAAATTAGACAACCTATTTTAGAAAAGTCCTTAAATCAAGTCCAAATCAATTTCAATTTGAATTTTATTTAAATCTTTTTCCTCAATTAAAGGTCCTTGATTAGACAAGCTTGAAACTCACCCCCCCCCCTAACCTTATGCCACCTCACCAAGCCGCCAGCCCCCTCCTCCCATCTCTCTCTCTCCTTCCTCTTTGTTCTTTCCTGGATTGGTTTCCCTCCAAATTCGAATTCAAAACAGAAATTAAATAAACCCCACTTCTCTGTTCGACATCATAAACTCTAGTTAAAGCACCAAAAGCTACTATAGTCCAATTCCAAGATGTTGAAAGATTTAAATTGCATAAAGTTTGCATTGCAATTGCATGGAATAGATACTATCAAGTCAATCCTGCAAAGAATATCACCTTCACAAAATTTATGGAAGGTATACATGGTTAGAAAAAGTCTAATACAATTATATAATTATATAATTAAAATTTATCATGATTGCTATTACGGATTAATTTGGTTATTTGAGAGGGGAGAGAGAATTCCTGTAAAAAATGTTTGTTTCAAGCAGTATAACTTTTTTGCAATATCTTTCTCCGCGAGTTCCCGACAAAGAAGAAATAAGTTATTTGTGATGGCTCATGATTTTTAAAAATACTTCTTAAGTTGGTCGCCTTTAGGTATTCCCTCTCAAGTTGTTATCTGAAAACCTTTCGCATCTATTATTACACGTGTCATGGCAGTAAGGAGGTAATTCCTCTTTTCAACTTGGCATCTTATTCTAAATTTCAAGTGTTGTTGCCTCAGTTAATCTATAGTTCAATCTTAAGATCTTGTAGGCCATAGTCTAGGATGTTCTTACCTTATTCATAGGAGACACGTACTTAAATGTTGGAAGTGGTTCAAAAGTGCTTTAAAGTTTTTTTTTTTTTCATGATCTTCACTATTTAATGTCTAGCTTTTAACACTCTATTTCTTATTCTTCTTTTGAGTCAATTTGACTTTCTACTGTGTTGAGCGGGAGGTTATTTGGACCATCGAACCAACCATATTGTTATTATACCTCAATGGGAGGTCATCTTTTTGTCATACTGAACAAAACAGCAGTCGAACTGAGTACTCCTAACTAAGAGAGATCATTTGATCAATATTATGTTACACCGGTTCATATTGAACAGGCTGAGTGCCGGCTCAAGTTTATAGGAGGCGAAGCTTGTCCGCCTCCTCTCCTGTTGTCCTCCCAAAGTGATGGGCCCCACTGATCATTATGTTTTCAAAATCAAATAGAGGGGGCGGCTAGAGCTTTGGGAGAGAAATCAAATTAGGAAAGTTTTTGTATTAAAGTGCATGAGGGGACTAGAAAGAGTTTATGTTTTGATTACTTGAAAAATTAGGGTTCTTGGTGTTTGGGCTCTAGACTCTCTTGTCTAGAGATTTGGGAGAGACGATTGATGTAAGCAAAAAATATAGGGGACCCTATATTTTTTGCTTAACAAAGATAAACTTAAACGACACCGACAAAGCAAAGACTAGAAGAGGAAAGAACAAACTCTTACAATTCAAATAAAACTAAAAAGAAGAAATTAAAAGACTACAAATGACTCTTGCAAACAAAATGACGACACCCTAAAGTTGCTGCACTTGGAGAAGAAGGATACAGATAGAGCGGCACTTGCGGAGAGACGAAGAGATTAGAAGCCCGATAAGAAGGGTGGAAAGAGCCTGCAGGATTTCCGGAGGGGATGAGAAAGAAGAGTGGAAAGAGCCCGCAGGATTTCCAAGCAACCCGCAGGTTAACAGATTTTTTTCCAAAAATCACATCATATTCAACTTAACTAAACTATTTCAAACATTACAATACCCCCCCATATATATAGGTATGAAAGGGGAAGACCAAAAGACACATAACATTAATTAACACAAGAACCTAAACATCACGAGCATTAAACCTATTAATGCATTGCACGAAAAAACATCCCAAGCCATGGAACCGAAGAGGTAGCCATGGGAGCCAAGGAGGCCAAGCGGAAACCAAGGGGCCACGGCCTCGGGAAAGAGCCCAGGCACGGGAAACCAGCGGCCGGCCGGAATCCAAGGGGGCAAGGCACAAAAAGCTATGGTGGAATTCAAGGAGCCACCATGGAAAAAGCAAATCTTGGAATTCCAAAAGCCGGTTTGGAATTCCAAGAGACCTACATAATTAAAAACATTAAAAGCATAAAAAGTACATTTAATATGAGATAAATATGAACTAAAATCATAGTTAATAATGAGCTAACCCTTAGTTCAATAAATAAACTAAAGACCAGCTCATAAATGAGCTAAAATTTCAGCTCAAATGGATTGAGCTAGTAGACTCAAGGGAAACCAAAATTTGATTTATTTTGGACTAGTGTTGACCCCCCCTTTGTCTACATCAACGATCCTCCTCTCGAATTGAGGATCTCTTGTATCTTGCATTGTGTTTGTTCATTTTGCTTTCTATAAAGACGTTGCTATCGTGTGCTTGCTCTTCTACGACATTTCTACGTTTTTATTGCTGATTTTACTGATTTTGGTTAAGTTTGCTTGCGAACTCAAGTAGATCCAATAGGATTACTTGCGAACTCAAGTATTTCCTATCATATTACTTTATCAAATCCTACTTCATTTAATTCAATTCTCCTACGTCACTCAATTCATATTCTCATGCACAATCAATTTTAGGCAAATCAACCCTCCATGGGTCTTGACATGTCTATGGCTTGGATTGATCCTCAAGAAGGGGTGCATTATGCCCCCCACAATTGTCTTCAGATGCATTATTAGCCTTTCTTAATTTTCTCTAGCAAAGTGAATTAAAAATAGCTAGCTAGAAGAAGAACCAGTACTTGTGAAGATAATTATGATAGAAGTACTTGTGAAGTGATAAAAGAATTTTCAATTACAGTAATGGTGCACGAAGGATCAACATTGAATTCATATTTTTGTGTATAGAAATGCTTATAAAATATATATTCAAAATTAAGGTGGCTTAGTATATAACGTTAGCAAATGGCATTGTTACAATTTATGAGACACCTACAAAATTAAATAGAAACTTAGAATAATAAAAAATATATAAGTGAAAAATATTTATGTCTCTTTGATCTAGTATAGAAAAAAAATGGAGAGATAGAGGAGGCTGAGTGTGAATGTATACAGATGACCAACAAGACCAAGTCCAATATATATTCACTTTGCAGGAAAAATAATACATAGCTTCTCAATAATCATTAACCCAATACTATAGTAGATTTGATATATAAAACAACCATCATTGTGATACCCAAAACTTGATATAGATATGTGCGTTGTGCTGTAAAAATTAAAATCATCATACTATAACATAGAAATATGAGTTTCTTGATTAATCAATTCATATGCTGATCAGTTGATGAAATCATGGAGAATGTACACGTGATGATCATTTGGGCATATTTCTCAAATAAATCAAAATTGCTTTTCAAAAAATTAGTCAAGAGGAGCAATACCAAATGAAGCCTAAGTCTCATAGAAACTGCTAGAAAGTGCATAGTTACTTTCTAGGCAAGTAGAATTTTTGTTAAGCATAACCATTTTTGCTATAGAAGGCAAGCAATACATTTGCCAAAAACTGATCACTGTATATGCCAATCCAAATATGATCATGATGAGTCCCAAAAGTTAACTTCATCAACCAACTTAAAGTTGGTAGTATATTAGATATATTATTGGGCTTGTACTATGCCAGAAAAGGAAAAACCTTTATATTTGTACTTATAAAAGATCATGATGCAGTGCCATAATGCAAAGTGTAAATATATTTAAAAAGTCTTAAAACTTGTGACAATTACAGGGTAAGTGCACAAGCACAAGAACCATCCAGTAAATCAAGAACTTTGCAGCAAAATCTAATCCATTCTAGTAGTAATAAAACAATACAGACATGAAAAATCCCAACCTGTAAAAGGGAAAGATCCCTTAAAATTTCAATATTGTCCGGGTCTATCCTCAAAGCATTTCTGTAGCATTTAATTGCCTCTCGGTATTCCCTATCTGACCGATATAATAATCCATAGACATGCCAGCAAACATGGCTTTTAAGATCATTCTGCAAACAATACCAACAAACGAAAAGATTTTCTGTAAAATTAATGACAAAAAACAAAAGAGGAAAATGATTCACCAAGCTGTACTCTTTGAAACAACTAACCTTAAGACCTCGTCGAACGAGTTCATAAGCTTCAGATTTTCGATCCAAGCAGTTCAGTGTTAATCCTTTCATGGACAAGGTTTCTGATAGAAGTTGAAAAATGAAAAAAAAAAAAGTAAAACAAAAAATTTAGAACAAATTAGCAAGATCCTCAAACAATTAAGCAAGTATGAAAAGACCAATAAAAAAAAAGAAAAACAGACAACTGAAGAACTCCCATATCCAAGTGCATGGTGCTATCAGCAAAGAAAGGTAAATTCTGCAATTAGAACTTCAGAATTACATGCCTGAGGAATACTTTGATGACTAACATTATTACAAAACTTATTGCAATTGGTGTGGTTATTTAACAGGCAGATATTAAATCTTCAAACTTCTCAAAAGCAGTCATGGAAAAGTGGTCACTTTGGCCTTTGTGTGTAATTGGGTGCCAAGTTTGGATAAGCTTGGCACCCACGCGCCACCAACCAAACAAAAAGGAAATGAAAAGCTTCGAAATATTTCCATAAGCATTAACACTCACAAAATAACAAATAACATTGTCCTTCACAACCACCATAAAAATTGAGGTAAGGGCTGGAGAAACTACTACCCATAATGCCCACAAAAGCCCACATCAAAACCATGCGCAAAGGCAAGCCTAAGAATAACTATAAGAGACAAAGAGCCACTGTCCAAATTAATTAAGTCAAAATTCAAAACTAGATTAAATTCCAAGCTTCAACGCCCAAGCCAAAATCAGATCATTTACAGACAGGCCAACATAACCATTAACTATCACAGTATCACCAATTTATTACTGGAATTATCTAAATTGAAACTATGCCAAACAATATGAACTAACCTAAAAGTAGAAAATAAAATACAACATTCTGAATCATCATTACAGGCTTGTTCTAACTACAGAAATAATAAGATAAACCAATAAAAAACAAATGAACTGAATACAAATTATTGCTTGATGGAAAGCCTTCGACATGAATAACGATGAAGATTTCAATTAGACCACTTGGGTAATTACATTTGAGGAGAGCACAACCTTTTCACCATGCAATTTGCTAGATGATAGATATTTACAAAGATCAATGATGCAATAGCACCTAACAACATATCTATTTAACCATTAGGCACCTTCAGTGCTATTATGCTTGGGACATTTGCTAAAATCAATTCATTTTTCATTTTCTTACAAGTTATGAGCTAAACAATGTAATGCATTCTATGTTGAAGGATGCAAATCTAAATGACTTTAAACATATTGTTAAATTGATGCTTCCTCCTTATTAATAGAGCAAACATCAATCACTTCCACATCATCTTCTTCTAGCATTTTATTATTATCCCCACTTAACACTTTTAGATCCAACTTTCACATCCTTTACCGCTATTTTCTTTATAAAATAGAGCTGAAATTCACTCACTCATATATTCCTTTTCATTATTTGATACTTCTTTTTTTTTATTCTTCCATGTCCGTTAACCTTATCTCAGGATAAGTTTGGCACAGAATATTAGAAGTCATCATTTTATTTTTCCATTTTGTACTCGAGTATATTTGACTTTTCATATATTGATTTTCTTACACAGAAAATAACATAATATTTACAACTCATATGAAGTTATTATTTCGTGAAAGGCTGAAAGCAAGTTACATATACTATCAAATCTAGGCTACTCCATAATTTTTTCCACAGATTTAGCATTTGGCAGTGATGTTGCTGTAGAGACTAAGAATTCATACTGCCATCCGTAAATAGTTAGAATAAAACTGATGATGATGACAAAGACTTCATAAATTATATCATTTCAAATTTAATCTCACAAAAAAATGTGATGACATTGCTTCTTGCCACTTGCATGGGGTGACTTTGTGTGCCTTAGGGGTAAGGTGGCGCTCACCTTAACAAGTATGTGCTTTGTCACTTTAATCTACCATTTAAAACTTTATTACATAACAAAGATGTTTAAATATTAGGTCACAATTTGTATAATGTGGCCATCAGAAACTTTACTTTTATAGCTTATGTGATTTTATGTTTATTTAGTGGCGAGTGGATTTAAAATTGTCCTTGTCCTTCGTTATATTGGTCTAGCTTAGTATCATTTGGTTTGTCAATAAAACACTATCTACTTTGTCCCAACAAATATTTTCACAACGACTATATCATAGCCCAAGTTGAAGGACCAACAATGAAATCCCAACTCCAAAATTAGAGTAAGTCGGCCAGCCAATACTAATTCAATAATTTATTTTGATCTTTTGATGATCCAAGAGGGCATATAGAAATCCAACAGTTAACACAATTTACCTCAAATCATACGAGATAATTCAAGCTTAAAAGATTTTTATGTGAAAGTAATCAAGGATATATGCAATGCAAATAAGTAAACAATATTTACATGAAAGGGTTTCTATAGTATAGCTTAAGGCAATAAAATATCACATAAAAGTTAAAAAAAAAAAATCAAACATATAACCTAAGAAAGAACACAAAAATAGACTATCAATTAAACATCAAATTTTTTACCTCCATGCTCAGGAAACTTCTTTAATATAGCATCTGCAGCCTTCAAACCCTTTTTATATTGCTTGGTTTCATAGGATTTCTGTGATGACAAGAACAATGTAAGACATAAATTATTAATAAACGAAAAGCTTCTTAATTTAATACTACAAACAGAGATAATAATGGTACATTCCTTCTGAGGAATAGCACTCATTCCACCACCTCACAAAATGGACAACTATAAGAACAAATAATCTAGCACTTCTACTGAGCAAAAAAAAAGATAACTTGAGGCAACAACTAAATAGAAAATGCAATCAGTAAAATGTAGTAATGCACTACAACAAACTTGCAAATGTCCAAATATTACCCACAAAATTATGTGAGATAAAAAATGGAGTAGCTTGAAGGTGAGTGCTTTCATAATCAAGTGATGCTACCACCAACAGAAGAAGGTCAACTCTGCATGAGCATTTGCTCACAAAGGAAAAAACGTTAACACGGCTGATATAGTTCGATATATCACAGAATTTCATAGCATCGTTTCACTGTTACAAGCTGGCTTATTTAAAATGCAGTTTGCATTGCGTTATACGCAGATTCCAAAGCAGGACAATGCTAGCTAAGAGTATTGGGCAATAGCACAAATCAAAATTTTAAAAATTTTAAAATCACCCCACCTTTTAACTGCCACTAACCATTTACAGTATGCCACAATGTCACGCCAGTGAGTAGGCAAGGATAAGATATATTAACAATACTACTAGGCAGAACACATTAGAAGTGCTCACCCTCCTAAACACAATCTCCCATAATTACTGACTTCATTTCTAAAAAAATTCCATAGAAAATTCAAATAACACAAAATCTTAGAAAGTTCTCGAGCATATGTCAAAAGTAAAAGTTCTTAAACAAACTAAAAATTTTAATTTATAACTAAGAAATCGAACCCAACAATCCAGTCAAGCTCGAGCTTTCCAAACGAGCCAAGCACGAGTCTAAATTTTTTTAACGAGATGAGTTTCACCTTGAGCTCAAATTCGAGCTCAATAAGAATTAAATGAGCTCAGTAAGAATTAAACGAGCTCAACTCTATTAGGAAAATACTCGATTCGTTTCCACCCCTATCTAGAGTACGAGTCAAAATGTGAGGGAAACCCAACAACTATGGCAAGTAATTCCCTGTCAACACTAAAGCTGCATGACCATCCAACTTAGCATTTACTTGAAAAACAACTAGAACCACATTTGAATTACTGAGCCTAATAATAAAAAATAATTTTTCAACTCATTTATGTTCAACTTGACAATTAACATTTAACCATGTAAAAGATTATCATTAAAAAAAAACATTCCACCATATGACGTATTTGAGAGTATATAACAATGACAATCTTGCACATAAATGTCTAAATCGTACTCCACCATTAGAACATCCATTTATTTCACAAATGAATCAAAAGCAAAGATGTGCTAATGTTGACCCAACATAAGGCACACATTGGATCAATAAATAGTATAGAACTCTTTGGCCTCTCGATTCTGAAGATTCAAGATTATGTTCTCCACAACCTAATGTCATTTAACAACCATAGAGTCAAACAACCCCAATTTTTTAATGAACATCATATGACCACATCCAAGGGATTAAATTAGAGGGGTTAGCTCAAACAGCTACAAACCCAAGAAACCATCTAATGATGCAAATGAGTTAAGTTTAAAAAGGAGGGCATGCAAATTCTGGTAGAAGCAACATATGAGGACATAAAACGAACTGAGAGAGAAGCATATCAGCAAGTGTCATAGCCCATCTATGATTGAATATCAAAGCTAGACACACAGCATATCTCACAAATATGAGTATGTTGGTTGATATAGATGCATCCAACACTAATCTTGACAATAAGGCTATATCTATAAGATTGTCTAGTCTTTAAGGATAGAACATTTGCAATATGCACACCAAACATCCATCATAGCCAATTAGGCTACTCATTCAGACGGTAATGAGCAAGTGTTCATTTATGTTTGTGTTTGGAAGGGATGTTTTCATATTGATGGTTAGTTTATGTTTTATGAACGAGTAACTAGGGCATAACTAGTGCTTGGATGTTTTTTATTACATATTTAGCATGATGAAGAGTTTTATGGTAATTCATGTTTCAGTTGTGTTTTGGATGCATTATGTAAAAGTAATGGTTAGGGAGCTTTGATGTCGTTTAGATATTTAGAAATAATTGATGCTTGGCCATATATGTAATTGGCATGTGTCTCTAAATTTATTTTGTGAAAATAATTAATTGTTGTGGTATTTTCATGGCAATTATATGCATTTATTAACATGATCAAGAACAGATATGGCCAATTAAATTAGGAACATATCACATGTCTTAATGTGATTGGTTATAATGTTGTTGATTGACTATTCCTGGTATTGTTGTATTGATGTTGCTGGACTACTTATTATGTAATACACAATTATTATGTAGTGATTCTCATAAAACTTAATTTATAGTGATAATTATAACTGTAGTGTTTATAGTAATAATTATGTTGTTGAAAGAGAATCACACAAAGTGAAATTTTAAAGGGTATTTTTGCAGGTTCTTCAACATGGATTGAGATATGCAAATTGAAGGATTGATTAATTTCACTGATCATAGATAATCATATTAGCATAATTAATAGGGCCTAATGTTAAACTAACATTAGTAATTCACTTGTTTTTAATTCACCAAGTCTTTTAACTCTCTTGAAATATTCCAATCCACAAACAAACACCCAATTCTCTGCTGGAAGGAATTAGACAACCAAATAATTTTCTAGATTTACACCATAAAGATTTACTAAATCTCACATGCATCCAAGCAGCTCCTAAATCTTTCTAAGGCGCCATATGCATACTAAAAATTCAAATTTGAAATTGCAATACTGATCACTACAGTATTTATTTCCCCATAATGATTTTAAGTATATCCAGTGAATCGTATTTTAATATTTCATCAAAAAAGAAAGCATCTTCATAAGTACCAAGCAATACCAATCCACAACAACATCAGTAACAAGCCACCACCAATATACCATCCAACTTAAATTTATAGCCAACACAAAATAGACCACAGCAACAGTAAAAGACAGAGTAAAACAAAAACGCATAAAAGCAACTACCCATTGCCCACAAAGCTGACATATTTACAATCCAGCACGGACCACACCACATGAAATTTCCAAGCTTAATCGATTCAAAGTTACGATTTTCCACCTAGCACAAACCACAAGCGAAGAAAGTTCAAATAAACAGCAGCGCCATCGCACAGAAGCAACACCAAACATAAACATGTGCAGTAGAGGTAAGTGAAGAAGCAAAGATGCCGATTCAATTCGAAATATAACCATCCGATGCAAAAATGAATTATGGAACTTACAACAATGACTTTAAAGAGGTTGGCCTCCTTCGGAGGCAGAGAAGACCCCATTCTCGGCGAGCACAGAAACGAAAACCCTAGGAGAGAAACCGACACGGATTCGGGAAATAAAAGGATGAAGGTAGCTTCAACCGGAGGGGCAAAAGAAGGCTAAAATATGCGGGGATTGTGACTGGGGAGAAAAAGGAAAGTCTGCGCCTTGGTCTCTTCTCTGTTAATTTAACTCCGCTGCTTGGGATCCTGGAACCCTACGCCCTTTGAAACAACAGAGAAAACAGAAGCACTCGCTTGGGAAAATGCCCCGATCTTTTCATAGAATTACGGATGGGAACTGATATTCTGACAGAATTGAACTTCGCCTACTTGTCAATAAGTAATAACATATGTAGGGGTGTCAAATTCGGGTCATGAGTCGGGTTCGGATCAAATTTAAAATTAATCCAGTACTATTCGGGTCAACCCGAATCTAGAAACGGATCGGTTTTTCGGACCCGAACTTGTCCCGCTTCGGGTCCGAGTTAACCCGACCCGACCCGAATGATCCGATTCGAACAAAAAACTGCTAGTTTTCAGGTCCAAAAACAGGATCAAACTCCTTTTTTCGGGTCAAGAACAGGTCAACAACGGGTCAATCTTAGGTTTCCGAGTCAAAAACAGGTTATCGTGTCAAAAACGGGTCAAGTTCGGGTTGACAGGTCAACCCAAACCCGACCCGATTTTTGAAACGGGTCGAATTATTGAACCCGAAGCCGACCCGTTTCGGGTTCAGGTCAACCCAAATCCGAAATTTTCGGGTCGGGTTCGGGTAGGGTTTTCGGGTCGGGTCCAATATTGACACCCCTAAACATATGGGATCGTAAACGGGTTGGCCCGTCCAAATAGTATCATGTTGGGCCATTGTATTTAGGAATAGATGTATATAACTATGTTTATTTTAAAGCAATATTAATATGCGAAGATCATAGTATCCTATACGGGATCGTAAGCGGGTCGGACTGTCCAAAAAGTGTCATGTTGGGTCATATTTGGGTTTCCGGGGTTTTGCCCCTGAAACAAATTTTGATTGTAAGGATATTTTTGAAAATAAAATTAATAAATAAAATGATAAATTTTACTATTTATTGGGGGCAATAGTTTAAAGATCATAATATTTCAAAATTTTTAGGATGGGCAATTGCATGAAAATCAAAGCCCTATATGAGGTCCTGGTTTGATACCCATTGGGTATAGATACCAAATGTAGGGCTTTGCAAAAAAAAAATTATAATAAAGACAAAAAAATAAATGAATGAGAATAAATTATCTAAAAAATAATAAATTAGCGCAAGCCAATTCAGAGTAATGTTAGAATCCAATTCAAATAAGTCAACGTGCGAACATGATTCCTACAATGTTCAAACGAAGGTGAACCTAAACAACTAGTTCTCTATTAAAAGTGAGAATATATGCGACTACTATATATATCAACATTTAACGTTCTAAAAAAATTCTACATATTTTTATTTATCTTCTCTGTTTGTATCATAATGAGAGAGCCGTAGAAAAATAAAATTTAAATGATTAAATGATTAAATACAAAGTAGGTGTCCAATTTTCAATGCTTAGTTTTTAATAAATTGTCATGTCTCTTCCCACTTTGCATTTGCAAGATTAAGGCATCATTTGGTATGTCTTTTTTATTGCTTCTTAAAGTCATTTTTTAATACAAAAATATTAATTTTTGTACTAAAAAATTATTTTAAAAAGCAATAAAAAATGCTTAAATTTTTTTGACAATATTAATTTTTGTATTAAAAAACTGATTTAAGAAGCAATAAAAAGCGCCTAAATTATTGTCATAATGAATTGAACCAACGAAACAACGGCAGTCAATGTTTAATGTATAAAATTGCAATAATTTTTTGAAATTTTCTATTTTATTGTCTTTTAAAATAATTTTTAGTATAAAAATTTTTAATTTAAAAAAAATTATACTAAAAAACTATTTAACAAAAAAAAAAGAAACTGTCCCAATTAAACCTGAATCTCTTAATTAGATGAATATTAATATTTCATATAATATCTAAGACAAGGAGAGGCAAGTTAAAAAATAAAAAATAAAAACGAGTTAACATTAATATGTTTAATAATTAAAATAAAAAGTATGTATATACTATCGACTATCTAAAAAGATAATTGTAATGAAATCGTATCTACGACGTAAATTTAAGAAAACATCCCAACAACATTATAATTTAAATTCCATGAAAAAAATAATTACTACAAAACATCAATAAGACAATAATAACACACTCGCCATTAAAAACAAGAAGGCCAAAAGAGATTCAACAAGGACATTTAAAGTAAGATAAAGTAATAAATATCGATAGTTCTCATTAAATTATATGCATATCTCACTTTCCAATGCATCCATATCCTGCTATTCATGAGAAATTATTATATGCGGAATCCGGTTATAGAGCTGTGTTCAGATGCTAGTAAAATCATTACACGTGACGTGCTTACGTGAAAAGTTAGGATATTCATTTGACTTCTTACTCGACCCGTTTGTCTTTTCGGACTTACTGTAGACGAAGAGAAATCCGCAACAAATAAGCAATAAATAAGCAGAAAATGAGCATCATATACGCAACAAATACTCAATAAATACGCAACAAATACTCAATGAATACGCACATTTTACGCAACGAATACGCAATAAATACTCAATCAATACGCAAGTCGAATAAATATCGCTGACTTTTAACTTTCCACATAAGCATCCGAACACAACTCTATAACCGAATTCCGCACAGAATAATTTCTCGCTTTTCGCATGCCTTTTGTTGAAATTTTCTGCAATTTAAATTCCCTGCTATTGATCAACTCACAATAGCTTTCATCATCGCAATTTTCTAAGTCTTCGTTTGGGACAGCTTTTTTGTTGCTTCTTAAAGCAGCTTTCTAATATAAAAAATTCATTTTTTTACTAAAAGGCTACTTTAAAAAGCAACAAAAAACTATTTAAAGAACAGTAAGAAAGCCGTCTCAAACAAAGTCTAAATCAACAGTCAGCAACTGACGAGTAAGAATCATCTAAAATTTCACCGATTTGTTCATTGAAGCTTCTCTAGCGTAAGCAATCCTCTGACAGAAATTCGTGATTTTGACAACGTAATCAACAAGGATTAACAGGAGGTAATTAATTACATCAGATTTTCAGTTGAACAGTGTTGAACTTGTCAGCTTGCTAAACAAACAAAGACATCAAGGCATTTTAAATAAAAAAAAAAAACATACGCAAGTTTATAATTTTAGTTGATGGTTAAGCAGTTAAACAAGTCGTAATTCATGCAGCTTACTACAGAATACTAGCAATCAATTTGGTTGAAGGCAAAATCTATTTCTTCTTCTGTCATTTCTATTGTCTTATCGCTATCAAACCCTTCATCATTTAGCTCAACACTGTATTCCTGATTACCTTCATTTTTATACTTTTTACCTTGTACAGAATTGTTTAATTGTTTTAGCTCGCTCTCATAAATCTTTTTGCATGAATCAGCCAGTACAGAGAGTTCTTTCTTTGGCAGTGATCCATTACGGTTTCCACCCTCGAGTTCTACAATATGTGACGATGTGAGGGACAAACATCCACTGCTCTGTCACAGTTTTGATATCCTGAAATAAAAATATAGAGAATAGATATAGTATGGGATGACAACTGTTTTATAAATTAGAGAATATATACAGAATTGCTTGATTTTATTGCGTAAAATTATAAAAAAGGAGCAAAAAATTACAAAATCATGCATAATTTCCCTAATATAATCCTTCATAAATCAGCCACTCAAATATGGAAGGAGATTGGCATGATCAGGTGAGCTTCTCATGGATTCTCATCCTGACCGTGGGATCAAGTGTCAAGTGAGGCAGCAGCTCTTCTGAGGTATACAACATTTAATATTTTTATTTTTAAAACATTTTCTTCTTCAAAAAATTGATGCAAAAAACATGTTCAGAACCTCCCACAAAAGTGATGAAATACAATTTGGTTAAACAAAGTAAATTAAAAAACCGGTTGAGAAGCATGATTCTTCAAATCATAAATGACTTGCTATGGTGGTGATAAATGACTCATGATTAGTTCCAACTATTTGATCAAAGATGTCCTGATTCATGCACACATGATCTTCAGACAACGAGATTCGTCCTATCTTCAGACAACGAGATTCGTATAGGACGATTGTCATTCTATTTTCCACATTACTCAATTGTGACAAGATTTTGCTGACCCATCAATAAAGTTTGGTTAAGCACTATCACATTGGCACCAATCTCGGAATTCCAACATAAATCTTACCATCCATTTAAAATTAGCATCAACCGTGATCTCAAAGCTGTCAGCAAAATTATGTAGCAATTGAGTGATCTTCATTAGCTTTTATATTAGGGCCTATGTCTCCATTGATACCCATCATCAGTAGAGGAATAATAGTCCAACACAAATCTCAAAAGCAATACGGTTTTGTTCTCCACCCTTCAATCGACCATAGAACTAAGATGCCTTCAATCAGGAGACGTTTTGGTGGCATGGAGCTAAAAGGTGATGTGGCTCAATCACTCACCGTAAATTTGCAAAAGTACCAAAATATTGTTCATTTAAATGCATTTAAACGCCCTCGAGAAGGAAAGGTGAAGGATTCTCTCTCTCTTCCTCTTCCTCCATGATTCACCTCTAAATTCTTAAGGGAAAACTTTATTGAATTGACTTCAGCTCTTATTCTCCTTCAAGCTCAATCAAAAACTTAAGTATCAAAGAATCTCTTTGGGGACAAAATCACATGACGGGCATTGGCCTTAGGTTTGAATAGAATGTGCAGAGGACAGTGTTTGTGATCCCCAACTAGTTGGGATAGGGTTAATGATGACGATGTGGACAACAATGTATCAAGCTCAAGATGATTCATCTACCCAAACTCTAACATTACTGAAATTCATTTATAGCAAATAATAATTTGGTGTATGATAGGAAATACTTGCATAAATTGAAACAATCTTAGTTGAAATTTGGAATTTGATGCGGTAAATCCTGGACCCGTGCGGGTCTACAGGCGGCAAGGGAGGGGGCGGCCGAACCGGGTGAGGCAAGGGGGAGAAGTCACGGTGGGCCCCATGGGCCCACCCACTTAAGTATTTGGGCATCAAGGGGGGCGGCTGGTTTTGGGGGGAAAATGGAGGGTGGATGATGGGGGGCAATTTAGGGATGAGGGGAAATTTGTGGGATTGTATGAAAGGAGCCATTAGGGTTTATTTTGGGGGCTATCATGTGAAGAAAGCTCTTTCTCTTTTCCTTCTTGTTTTCTCTAGGGTTTCTTTTGGGAGATTTGGTCCTTCTCGAAATGGACTAGCTTTGTCTTGTGATTTTTTCTTGAAGATTAATGCAAAGCTCTTTTGTTCTTCCTCTCATTCTTCTTGTTTTGGATTAACTTTGATTTGGTGGAGAAATATCATCCTAGAAGGAAAATTAGGGCAAACCCTAATTTGTGAAACCTAAGGCGTATCAGAATTCCAGCAAGATAAAACAAAATTCAAGAGAAATTTGATGCCAAAACACTAGGGAAACTTGATAATTGATGAAAGAGAGAAGAAAACAAACAAGATACGATGGATCTTCAATTCGAGAAGAAGATCTGTCTCTCATATTCCCTAGCCGACGGCTGGAGCCCAAGCAAACCCTAAGAGAAATACAAATTCAGTCAAACATAACATAACCTTAACCCTAATCCTTTCCCCCTATTTAAAGAATACAAATATAATGAAAAAAAAATACAAATATAATAATAATTACTAAACATCCCCTCTCAAAATTAATTCCCTTCTAAACCGACCTCTCTTTTTTTTAAAAAAAAAAAATTTGCATTCAAATCATGGGCCCCACAAGGGGGCAGCGGCTTGATTGGTTCGCCTGGAATACACCACGAGCCGGCCTTGGTGTTGGATCGACCGATGGACAGGTCTAACAACCCCCTCCCAAAGAATCATCTTGTCCTCAAGGTGAAAGGATGGAAACTGATGCTTCACCCTCTCATATGGTTCCCAGGTGGAGCCATAGTCTAATAAGTTCTTCCATTTTATCATAACCTCCTAGATCCCTTCATCTCCCTGTCGGACCACTCTTAACCCCAGTGTTTCTAATAACACCTCTAAATCCTCTATCAATGTCACAGGTAACTCTAAGCTAGCTGCATGACCCCCAATAGCTCTCTTCAATTGTGACACGTGGAACACTGAATTTATAGCAACGGTCAGTGGTAATCTCACGCAGTATGCCACTGCTCAAATCCTCTCCAATACCTGATATGGGCCAAAGTAACTTGGGGTCAGCTTCTCATTCCTCCTATTGTCTACAGTCTTCTGTCTGTAGAGCCGCAATTTTAAGAACACCTTGTCCTCCACTTCGAATTGGTTATACTTTCGATGTCCATTGGTTTGAGGGTTGTAAGCAGTGCTCCTCTTTAGTATTGTGCCTTGCAATCTGAACAACTCTCTCCAAAAATAACTGAGGAACACCTTATACCGATAAAAACTATCGACTTAGGGATCCCATGTAATATGTCCATCTCCTTGATGAATGTTGTCGTCACTATCATAGTCGTGTAAGGGTGGCGTAAGGGAATGAAATAAGAATACTTGCTCAACCTGTCAACCACCACTAGAATCACTTTAAATGCCTTAGATTAGGGTAACCCATTTATGAAATCTATGGTGACCTCCTCCCATACTCTGTCTGGAAGAGCCAAGGGTTGAAGTAATCCCCCAGGAGCCATAGCCCTATACTTGTTTCTCTGGCACACCTCACACCTATACATCATCTCCTCAACATTTCCTATTCATCCCTTTCCAATACAATTCTGCTACTAGTCTCCTATATATCTTCTGCACACCATAATGCCCTGCAATAGCGCTCTCATAGAACTCCTGTAGTAGGTGGGGAATATAAACTGAGGTCCGTGGTAACACAAACCAACTATGGTACAAAAGTCTATCCCCTTCATGAGAATAGCCAAGGCGGTTATTCTCATCCTTAGTAGATCCGCCTTAATCCCCGTCTGCCCTTCATCTTGCATACTCTCCTCCTTAATAGCCCCCTAATCTAACATCAGTGATACTTAAATGACTAACTCTTGGAGCTCCCCCACGCACCTGGATAAGGCATCAGCCTCCTTGTTCTCTAGCCCTGGCCCATACTACATCTTATAGTCATAGCCCAACATCTTTGACAGCCATCTCTTTGCTCCTCGGTCATCGTCCTCTACTCTAACAAATACTTCAAGCTTCACTGATCTATCCTGATAATGAAATGTCGGCCCAACAAGTAAGGTCGTCACTTCCAAATAGCCAATACGATGGCCATCAATTTCCTCTCATAAACTGACTTCAGCTGAGCTCTAATTGTCAACACCTACATGAAATAGGCTATGGGTATGTGATTTTGAATGAGCACTTCCACCAATCCATATATTGATGCATCAGTCTCTAATACGAACATCTGGTTGAAATTGGGTATGGCAAGGATCGGGACCGGGGTCATTGCTGTCTTAAATCTCTCAAAGACATGAGTGGTTGTCTCTCCCCACAAGAAGTTGTCCTTCAGCTGCTCTGTCAGAGGCCAATCTATGGTGTTATATCCCCTCACGAATCTCCTGTAATACCCCATCAATCCTAGAAAGCCCCTCAACTCCCTTAGGTATCTAGGTAGAGGCCATTTTATCATTGCTCTATCAGAGGCCATTTTATCATTTCTTCATATTGGCCCTCAGTTGATGCTCCTGAAACACTTCTAAGACCGCCCTTAGATGCTCCTCATTGGACTTGCTATACACCAGGATGTCATCAAAGAAAACCAAAACAAACTTCTGGAGGTAAGGTCGGAACACCTATTCATGAGGGATTGAAAGGTAGCAGGGGTGTTGGTGAGACCAAACAACATCACCAAGAACTCGGTGAGACCCTCATGTGTCTTGCAAGCTGTCTTCAGAACATCCTCCTCTCTCATTAAGATTTGATGAAACTCAGACTTCAGGTCCACCTTTGTCAATACCATCGCTCTACAAAGCTCATATAGCAACTCACCTATTACTGGAATAAGAAACTTGTCTGACACAGTCTCCTTATTCATGGCTCAATAATCCACACAAAATCTCTAACTTCTATCATTCTTCTTGGCCACTAGAACTGGACTAAAAAAGGGCTCACGCTCGGCCTGATGATCACTGCTCCCAACATCTTTTGGATCAGTTTCTTAACCTCATTGATGTGAAACAAACATGCGATGGAGTTACTTTAAGAAATTAAAGAGAGCAATTTTAACAAAATAATCATAAGGGCAAAAACAAGAAAAACATAAAATAAAAATAAATTACTACATAAAATGATGAAAATACAGATCATGATCGTGGCCGTCGATCTCCGGCATCTCCTGGAGGTACATGTGTCGAAATCGCTGCTGATGTCCCCATCACTCATCCTTCTGGATTTGGGGTCTGCAGTTGCAGTAAGGCCTGACACTAATCGGTGATACTTCCTCAGTGTGATGGCGTGCTCCTGTCCCCTCTATGGTGGCAACTCCAGAGGTGGCTGAAAAGCCTCACTGAACTGTTGTATGCCAGATTGTATTA